TGGATTTAAAGAGAATGTAGAGGACAATTGTGTCTATGCAAAGTTTAAGAATGAGAAGTTTATCTTCCTTGTCCTGTATGTGGATGATATCTTACTTGCTAGTAGTAATGTCAGTCTACTACTGGAGACAAAGAAGTTTTTGTCATCAAAATTTAATATGAAAGATCTTGGTGAAGCTTCGTTCGTTCTAGGGATCGAGATTCACCGAGATAGAAGTAAAGGGATATTAGGACTGTCACAAAAGACATACATAGAAAAGATCTTAAAGAAATTCAATATGCATAAATGTAGTCTCTCACCTGCTCCTATAGTCAAGGATGATAGATATGGGCATTTTCAATGCCATAGGAATCAGTATGAGATCGATCAAATGAAAACGGTTTCATATGCTTTAGCTGTTGAAAGCTTGCAATATGCTCAAGTATGTACGCGTCCTGACTTGGCATTTGTTACCAGATTACTTAGCAGATTCCAGAGGAATCCTAGAACAGAACACTGAAAATTAGTAAAGAAAGTCTTATGTTATTTGTAAAGAATGAAAAGCCTCATGATGACGTATAGAAGATCAGATTCACTCCATATAGTGGGATATTCAGATTTTGATTATGCGGGAGATGATAGAAAATCCATGTCTGGATATGTATTTACTCTCGCAAGGGGAGCTATTTCATGGAAAAACTCAAAGCAAACCATCACTACATCGTCCACAATGTATGTCGAGTTTGTAGCGTGTTATGAGGCAACGGGGCAGGTGAACTGGCTAAAGAAGCTCATACCCGGTTTGAAGGTGGTTGACGACATCTATAGACCACTTAAGTTATACTACGATAATAATCCGGTAGTACAGTATGCTCACAACAATAAGTCAAGTGGTGCTGTCAAACACATTGACATAAAGTATTATGTTGTGAAAGATAAAGTCCGGAATCATGTCATAAGTCTTGAGCATAAAAGTACCGAAAAGATGCTCGCGGATCCGCTTACAAAAGACTTACCACCCAACATGTTCAGAGAACATATAGCCGGCATGGGTTTGAGGGAAAGACTATAATTCCTGGACAAAAGAAGGGCCAAAGTTAAGTACATATTTCAGAACAGAGTGGTGTGTTAACAGAGTGGTGTGTTGTAGTTGTTAAATCTATCGGCAATTGACCGTGACGATAAAACATGCTCTATGCTCTAATCTATAATGGAATGAACAAAAGTAAATGATATGAAATTGAAAGATGGTAAGAGATCAAGAGGGATATTGTTAGATTGATCTCTAAACATAAACTGAGCCCAACGACCCAGTTGGGCCTTTGATCCGTGCCCTGATCGGGGGCGCCCAGCCCACTATGGCTGGAGGGCCCCTGTCACACTGCGCTATATATAGAGGTGGGGGCTGGCGGCTCTGAGTACGAGGTTTACCGTGAGCCGAACTCCCCACCGAAACCTAAACCCTAATCCCGATCAGAGAGGGGCGCAGCCAGTGACGGGAAGCCACCAGCCGCCCCGCCCCGCTCCACCGACGTCGACGACTTCATTGACCTCTTCCCCGAACGTCGCTGCTCGTGCGCAGACTTCACCGATGAACGAGATGACGGCTTCTGGACCATCTCCCTCTGCGGTGTCAGGTTCGACACGTTCTTCTTCTATTCCTCTCTGTCTCTCTACTCTCGATATCGCATTCACAGTAAAAAGAACCCGCTAGACCTAAGCCTAGATGATCTTTTCGATCTCAACAGCAGTTACTAGTAACGGAAACCACTAAGACATACATCATGAACCACTATCACATAATGGTCATCATGCACATAAAACTCATCAAACCGTAAGTTACACTGCATAAAGCACCTAACAAATTACACCTATCATTAACTTTAATCTTGAAATCTCCTTTGATTTAATTACTGAATAAATTGGATAAACTCAATTAAAGCCAACAGGTAGGACCGTCCTAACAAGCATGTTGATGAGCCAGGTGGGCCTGACCATGCCTAGACCGGTATGTCAGCAAAACTCATAAGCCCGGCCCTACCGGGTCTCTTGATCACGAGAATTGTGAACGAGAGCTTCAAGATTGGACGGTCAGGGATTGGTTGCATGATGAAGTGGCTGGCATAGACGTCTTTTAAACGATCACGCAGATGCGGCTCAAATGAATCTACAAAGACTCGTCGGAGAGTCACTGCCCAGTGCTCACCCTGTCAATGAACAGGTGTGTGTGAGGGTTACTATCTTACTAATCAATGTTTTCTTTTCTTTACAGAAAAGAGGAACAGTAGAAAAAGAAAAAAGTCTATGAGCTTTTAATTTTGCTGCCATTGATTTGATTGACCCAGTAGCAGTAGCACAGGTTTTATGCGACACGAAATGAAAATCCGGACTGTTGTGACGTGAAAGATATGATTGAGGCCGCCTTTAGTTCCAAACTCACGTGTTTAGTTGTAAGATTTTGGAATTTGGGGCTACTGTATCATGTTTATTTTTATTTAGCAATTAGTGTTCAAACATAGACTAATTAGGCTCAAAGCGTTAAATCAATCACAAACTGTGCATCATTAATCTTTTTTAAATACATTTAATGCCCATGTATAGCCGCAAACATTCATTAAACTTTTTGGGATTTTGGGGTGGAACTAAACAAGGGCCAAACTCAAAATCCCAAAAAGTGCTACATTAGCCATCACATCGAATCTTCCGATACGTGCATGAAGCATTAAATGTATTTTAATTGCCTAATTAGTCAAAATCATTGAGACAAACGTTTATTATTAGTCAATGATAAAACTAATTACCAAATAAAAATAAAAACAAAATACTGCACTAACCCAAATTCCAGAATTCGGCCAGAGAACTGAAAACCGGTGGTGCTCCCGAGGGGGTTAGTTGAAGAGATAACGAGGACTGTTGTGACGTGAAAGATAACGCAAATTGTGGGAAATGGTGCAGAGGTTAGTACGGAATTATCAAAGCAGGTGAAGAAATTTGCATCCAAAGCTCCTGATCGTCTGTAGCGAGGCAACAAGGCGTTCTCGTCGCACCACAGCAAATGCGTAGCCGTGTACCGCTACAACATACTCTTTCCATAACGCAAATAATTTGTATGCCTAAAGCATTTCAAGAGTCTTTTTAAACTTATTGTCTAAATCATAATTTGTTTAAATAAAAATTGTTCTCTATCTTTTGATACTCCAATAACTTTTCTATATCTCGTATACAGGTTAGAGAGCCAATCCCGCTTTTCATATTTGGCTACCGGATAATTCGGAATATATGAGGACTATATTTGAAGATATGATTAAAAAACTACTTGAGTGTATTTTTTTCTTCTAAAAATCTTTATTTCTATCAATTAGAAAGAATATAAAGAGACATTGGGAGTTGCTATAGCATGTAAAGTAACTGTACAATATATTATTGCTTTCCTATCCTTTTTTTTTGCCCCGAGCATCTGTACCTCCATCTTTTTCCGTCCGGCCTCAAAGCCTCGGTGGCCCCGTGCCCTTAGTGTTAGGTGGCTTCGTGCCCTTGTGCTTTGGTGGCTACGCGCCCGGTGGCTCCCCACCCTTGCGCCTCGGTGGCTCCATGTCTAGCGCCAGGTAGCTCCGCGCCCGCGCCGGTGCCCCACGCCCCTTGCTTGTAGAGGGTGTTTTGGGGAAGACCTGCGCGCACGTTCGAGGAGCCGAGCGAAGCTATTTTTTTAGGCTCCCTCAATCTCATTTGGCTTCAGAAAGCGCAAAATGCGGGAGTAGTAGAACAGAGGTAATCGATTACCTTTGATCGTCTTATTTGGTTGGTTGCGACCCGAAGCTACTCCTGGAGCTGGTCCAAGAGCACTACCAAATGGACACTACATAGTTTATCTTAGCAAGGTGCAAAGGTTAACATGTCCACAGGTACTTTATTAGTAAGACAAAAGTCACAAACATGTAAATTTCTAGCACATGCTAAGATGGTCCGCACCAAATGAAAAACTGTGTGGGTGGGTGGGCACTGGGCAGTCAGTGGATGAGTAGTAAAGAACGGGAGAGGTAAGAGGGTGAAAGAGAAGAAAAATACTTTCTATTATTTGCATCATGTTCTAAAATAAGGTATAAGATGGTGCTGCATTAGTCCCTCCTCCTGATATAGGTATGTTCAGCTGCATTTATAAGCCGACGCTGCTGACTGCAGCTAGTTCAGTTCTATAATGGATCTACAGTGATATATGAAAGAGAAAAATATAGTTCGTTTGCTGTTCGCTTGAACTACTTCAGCACAATAAATCAGTATAAGCATCCGCATAAGCTAAATTTTAGCAAAACGAACAGGGCTACCCACAACCGACGATAACGGCAATAAATATAAAATACAGGAGTCATACAAGAATTTTACAGGAATTAATTAATTTTTACAAGAAAAACACATAGAACTCCCACGTTTTAAAGAGGGCCTAAACACACTTCATTTGTTTCTCCTCTCTCCTCTTTGCACCGGATTAGAACGCACAATGAAAAAGGTGCCCTGGCCCCTGGCCCCCTGAGCCTGCCTCAGCGCTGGCCACTGTGTGCGCGGAAGCATGGGATGGATGGCTCCCGCCTAGAGATTGGTATGGTCCAAACGTCACTCCTCCGGTGGCGGTGGGGACTCACAAGTCCGTGAAATCATTATAAAATGGCCGCAGTTCGAGGCATTGGCAACCTCTGCTGCCCCTGCCGCCGCTGGAGTGGACGGACCCCTCCTCCTCCATTTCCTCCTCCTCGCTTCGCCCAAACACAACCGGTTGCTTTCTCAACCCACCACCTCTTCCCTTCCTCAATCGCCTCACAACGCAACCCCTGTCAAATCGCCCCGCTGATCAGGCCGTGCAAAAATCCAAACTTTTTCGACAGGACCCTGCTGGTGCTATACTCTTATCTCGGAGGCAGAAATCATCTGCTTCTGCTAGGCTAGCGATGCTTGTTTGAGTGCGCGGGCCTGCGGCGAGGTGAGGCGACAGCGGCGCCGGGCGGTTGCATAGTGATTGATGGTGGCCGATGGAGAGTAGACGAGGAGGGTCTGCGGCGGCGGCGGCGGAAGATGCGGGCGGGGCGATGCCGAGCTTTGGGCCACCTCAGCACGCCATGTATGTTCCCGCGTCACCGCTTCTTCATTTGTTCATGGTTTCTTCCTTCCCCGTTCACCTATCCTCCCGTATCCTCCCGTTTCTGCGTGCTCCTGACATCCTGTGGCTGTCTCACTTGTCCCTGGCATGAGCATATGATCCCTGGTTATTGTTGATTACTTTCTAGTTGCCCTTGTTTAGTTCGCGAAAAGTTGAAAATTTAGCTACCGTAGTATTTTCGTTTTTATCTGGTAATTATAATTCAATTATGGACTAATTAGGCTCAAAACGTTCGTTTCGTAATTTCCAACCAAACTGTGTAATTAGTTTTTTTTCGTCTATATTTAATGCTCCACGCCAAGATTCGACGTGATGGATACCTGTAGCACTTTTTTGTAAAAATTTTCTCGAACTAAACAAGGGCCGATCATCGTACTGCGCAGCGCAGCGCATGGATTGCGGTGGTGATTGCTTCTGCTTTCCAGGAGAAAAAAGTGGATTGCTTTTTTTCTGACTAGACTAGACCTTCACTTCATGTGTTGTAATCATTGGATGATAACTTTGTTATCTGTAGTAAGGTTTCTGTTGGCCTTATGCTCCGGTAGTGCGACTGTGCAAGGACTGAGATGAGCAATGGTTTTCATTGATGTGCCATGCTGCCTCACTTTACTGCACTGGCCTAACAGTTTGGCAGCTTGCCCTGGTCAACTGTCTGAGGCTTGGCTTGTTGTCACTGATCACTGGACCACATATGCATGTCCCCAACCAGGGCACTGGAGATCATCACGGTGGTAGGGCCATATCTTCATGATAGCGGAAGAGGGGCCTAGGGTTGGGCATGCGTAACCCAAATCATATGGGTTAGTGAAAGCTTAGTAGATTCGGTATATTGCGTGGGATAGATTGTACTGAGCATCTCAAGCAGTATATATTAGAGTACACCGACTTGCAGGCAGGTTGCCTCCCTGGATACATATGCCAATACTGGATTATAAATCCAGACTAACATCCCTCCCATGGTCGTAGCGGGAGCATCGCAAAGATCAGACTGGAGAAGAAGCCGAAGACTAACACCCCACAGTCATTGCACCATCGTGACTGGAGTACAAACCGATGAGTAGCTCATTCGAATGTCATGTTAAAATAGAACGACAAAAGGAAATTCATCTTTGCATGCTACAATATAAAGTATGGGTTTTTACTGTGCAAAACCTTTTTTCTAAAAACAAATGTATATAGTTTTTTATGATCAATATTTTGTTTTGATGAACAATGCCTTTTCAGCCACACAGATGTGAACAGCATGCAACCTTCTCGAGTTACTGACTTTGGGGCACTTGCACAGTCAGCTGGATTCCGAATAGAAGATCTTGCTAACCTTAATGCAAGTATGTTTTCAGTTCTCAATCAAATATGCTAGAAATTACTTCTTATATATGTTCTTCTATTCGTTTGGGAAGTTCAGTCATGTGTAATGTGTATTTTTCTAGCATTGGGAATATATGTATTCTACCCATATGCATATGGCCTTCCATTTTTAAATCTGATATCTAGTTGTACTCTGTCATTCAGTTATTGGTATGCTTGCTCACAGCAATTACCAAAGGTATAATTTCTGTTTACCATGTGTACATGTAAGCTGTAAAACTGGGATTATATTTTGAACGTAAGTAAAACTGGGATTATAATCTGTAGCTGCCACCACAGACAGCAGAGGTCTCACCTTGCAAGCATTGCCACTGTGGCTGTACACAATTGCAACCCCTTTCATACAAGCAGTGGATCAATTCTATGGATGTAGATGAACTACTAGCTTTTCTGTTCAATTACCCATAGTTTGAACGATTCTCCTTTATTTTCTCATATTCAGATGCTTTGTTCAATCTGAAGCCAAATACCCATACAATTAACAACAGTCCTCTTCAGTTTGGAAGTTACGGGAAGGTATGCAGGCAGGCCACACACTAAAAATTCTGGTCACTGATCAAAAGCCCGTTAATTTAGTGATGTTCCATACTTCCATCCATATCAGGAGTTGACACAGATTTGTTTTCCTATTTGTAGCCTATTTCTCCTCATATAAATACTACAGATGCAGCAACAGCTGCAACAAGAATTGACCCTCAGTCGCTAGAACAGCAAACAGGAGCACAATCAAATCTGGTGGCATTACCAACTGGTAACATCGAGAATTGGGGAGAGTCAGCTATGGCTGGTAGCCCTATGACTGACACATCTACAGATCCAGACACTGATGAGAGGAACCAGATGGTAGTGACCATTCTCAGTTCACTCCTTCCTTGGTCTGTTTTATTAGATGAATATGATATGCTTGGTTTTTGCAGAATATTCGTACTCAGGTTTTGCTGTTTTGGAGGTTTCTGTTGTGCTTAAGAAGAATGTTTGACTTCGAAACGTGCATGTTTATTTTTCAGTTTCATACATATGCATAAATACTTTGAACGGATTGTAGGCATTAAGGTTCTCTTGCACGAATAATATGGATGGTGCATTAGATAAAGCCATTGCATATACAAGTATGATTTGCTCCCAATCTTTGACGAACTATTGCATGACTGTTGGTCAATGTCTAGCTGCTGGCAGGATTCTTTTCATATTTGGAAGCCTGGTGTATGTTCATCATCCTTAACGAAGTGATCAATTGAATTATGCTTGCCATTCAACACACTTAAATGGATTTCTTGTTGGAAAGAATGCTTCAGTGTTTATATGCTTATCTTTTTGTAACATTGATCAACATATACTAAAGTATACCAGTTTACTAATTATCTGCCTATCAGTTTGAACAAGGACTGGTTGCTGGCCCCACAGCTTCTGATTCTAGTGACAAATCTAGGGACAAACTAGATCAGAAGGTACTCTTATCACTATATTATGATACATTGATCATGTGTTAAACCACTGCTGAATGTAAATATTATTTATATATTTGTTAAAACAGACACTTCGGCGTCTTGCCCAAAATCGTGAAGCTGCCAGGAAAAGCCGTTTACGAAAGAAGGTGATTTGGAACATTACTGAATTTTTGCTCCTTTCAGATTCAATTTATCTTCATCCTCTCGTCACCTAGTGTGGTACCAGTCTTGCCACTACATTTTTTTTGAGAAATCTTTTCATTTGAACAGAGTATTACATATTATTTTACACATGAGCTCTATAAGTACTTAGTAGACTATGCATCCAGACATAATTGTGTGGCTACTGCTTCTTGTACCTGCAGTTGTAGATCACATTAGCATTTTTATGGCTATGATACTTACCTCCCCCTCCCCCTCTTCAACTATTTATCTTTTGTTGCATCATTTTGGTAGAATTAATTTGCACCCTTCACCTTATGTTTTCTTCAGGCATACATCCAAAACCTTGAGAGTAGCAGACTGAAACTTACTCAGTTAGAGCAAGAGCTTCAGCGGGCTCGTCAACAGGTCTTTCTATTTACATTCATAATTTGAAAGTTGTTTCTGGAATTAAACATGCTGCACATGTGTTGACCAATGTGTCATTTTTCTCCGTCAGGGTATTTTTATTTCGACATCAGGAGATCAACCTCAATCAACAAGTGGAAATGGTAATACTACACTCACATGTCTCTTTCTAAAAAGGTCTACTGTTTACTATTCATTATGGGGCTTGACTTCTGTGCCCTTTTCTTGGGTGCTCCTTGGCTCTTATGAGTTATGGATAAAATAAGGACACAGCTAACAAATGAAATAAGCTATGGTACGGTAGCAAGACATACTTGAGTTCCTAAAGAATTATTATGACTTCCTTAACATTAGAAATTTACAGGCAGTTTTACCCTTAAAAGCATCGGAATTTGTTTTTTTATTTCATCATAGTGCTAGTTCCCTTCTATGTTGATGCTATCTGATCTGTAGGAGCTTTGGCATTTGACATGGAGTATGCACGCTGGTTGGAGGAGCACAACAAACATGTAAATGAGTTGAGGGCTGCAGTCAATGCACATGCCGGCGATAATGATCTTCGTGGTATTGTTGATAGCATTATGGCGCACTATGACGAAATTTTCAGGCTCAAGGGTGTGGCAGCTAAAGCAGATGTTTTCATGTGCTGTCTGGGATGTGGAAGACCCCTGCTGAGAGATGTTTCATGTGGTTAGGTGGCTTCCGATCATCTGAGCTTCTTAAGGTACTAATCTAATGGTTTTATTTTGAATGCACAATTAAATTTCTTGACCTCTTGGCTCTTGCCCCTGAACTGTTTGGTTAAGTCCCCTTATGGGAGTTTTGATTCCAACTGAAATGTTTGTTCATTCTAATCTGACATGTCTAACTGCAAATCTGTTAATTGTACTATTGTAGTATTTAAGTACCTCATACAAAACGCAAGATGATAAACTTCTGTCCTTCCGAGACAAACTTCTGAACGAGATGCTCATGTTCTCCTCTATTCTTTCGATTTTATACCAACATTACTGTTGCAGTTACTGGCAGGTCACCTAGAGCCTCTTACTGATCAGCAGCTTGTTGGTATATCCAACCTGCAACAGTCCTCCCAACAAGCTGAAGATGCTCTTTCTCAAGGGATGGAAGCATTACAACAGTCGCTTGCAGAAACTCTAGCATCTGGATCCCTGGGCCCTGCTGGACCTTCTGGCAATGTTGCAAATTACATGGGACAAATGGCGATGGCTATGGGAAAACTAGGCACCCTTGAGAACTTTCTACGACAGGTTTGTCATGCAAAATCATGGACTTGCTCATTTCATAACATTGTGTTATCTTTATTTTCCTTAATTTGCTGGCTACTCTTTGAGGTCTTTTCTGTAGACTATATCAGCTACATGATATTATTAAATCCATATCTTTAAGAATAAAATTTTTGAGCAGCTTATACAAGCTTAATCTGAAATAACAAATGAATTATTGCAAAGGTTCACGATTATCAAAAGATGTCGATAGATAGTGGCATACAAAATCAGAGGCACAGATTTTGATTTGAAGTGATCTACTTTAGCAGATATCTTTATCAAAAGAACTTTAGCAGATGTAGCAAGTAAGTACATAATTTTTTAACAATGTCATCTGCAGGCTGATAATCTACGGCTGCAAACACTTCAACAAATGCAACGCATCTTAACCACCCGACAATCAGCACGAGCCCTACTTGCAATAAGCGACTACTTCTCTCGGCTGCGTGCTTTGAGTTCTCTTTGGCTTGCCCGTCCAAGAGAATAAATTCAATTAATTCATAAATAGGATAATTTTTTGTACTGTCTCTAGTATGTCCATTAGTTTCTTCACATTGCTCATGTGTTAGTGAGATATTTGGATCGATCTAAGATCTTATGAAGGGATGACATGTATGTGTTCAAGTGAACAGTCAGTTCATATTGTAGGCCATCATGGGTTATTGGACAAGTTTGTAACAATTTTGGAGAAAAAAACAGAGTTGTAAATACATCCGGAATAATCTAAGATCTTATGAAGGGATGATATTGGAGGATATGATCGACGAACAAATAAGTGCAACATCACTGTTGGGTGATACGGCATGATTATATCCAAACTAAACAGTTGAATCTGTTTGCAAAGTTATGTTCTTCCAAAGAAATCACAGTACTGCGTAGGCCATCCTTCATGAACAATCAGCAATCATGCTCTTTTAGCATGTATATTGGGGATAACTCATGATGAATATGAAGGATTTAACATTACAATGCGAGTGATAAATGTGATAATATGATTTATTGGAATATCAAATTGCTAGTTGCACAAATTGACCAGAACTAATAAATTTTCTTAGTCACAAGTGTGTTTGATGTACATAGGCAAGCTAAGGCCTTTACCTATCCTGAACCTGATCGTTAAATAAAGTGTTCTGTATAGACAATACACATGGAACGAACGGTGTTCACCTTGGAGCAACTCGTTCTTGAATCGGATGGGGGGCTACTGCCAGGTCAATGGCATCAACAGCTGTCCATAGCTATGCACCAGCTTTACCACGCTGTACAGGGGCTCGGAGGGAAGCTCTGTAGATGGCGTCGGACTTCTCAATCCCATCAAAGACATAACCGAAAGGTGGCATCATGACGTATCTTCCTGAACCAGGTGCAATGTTCAGAATGCCATCCTCCCATACCACTCGGCCCCTTGAGATTGTGATTTCCACCATTCCCTACACGAAATGAACATTAGTAAATGATGCACCCACAAGTTGCAAGTTCCACACTAAATACTGCTGATTCATGTGTGCAAAGAAGAACCAACCTTTCCTTTCCTGCCCTCGTACACATTAGTGTTGGACCTCGAATGGTGTGTGTGAGCACCCATCACAAAGCTCCTTTCAGGATTCAGGATTATGATATCTGCGTCAGATCCTTCCAGGATTGCTCCTTTCCGAGGGAATATGTTGAAGATCTTGGCACTGAAAAGGGTTGAGTAATTTGTATCATTATTGTTTGCTAGTTGAACGATGCATTTTGACATGACAATCTGGTTACTGCTAAACTATGTGTAATACCATTCTGTGCTTGTCACTCTGACATAGTCGGTTACAGAAATCTTGCCAGTCTCCTGTGTATGGTGCATAAATATCAGAGTAGAAGAACTGAATACAGAACCTACAGAATTCTAACTGTTATTTTCTTTCAAACCGTTTCACAAACTGAACTTACCACCATGCTGTCCCAAATTATATGCATCCGTTCCTCAAGACCTGGGTTCAAGTATTCAGGAGAGATATGTCTCAAGATCTCCTGTACAGATTATAGATCCTACTATCACTTTAGCATTTAAGTACAGAGGCCCTACCATTTACACCATTGGGGATCTTCCGAAAATCATCAGAACCAAAAGCTTTCTGTGTGGAGTTGAATGTGCAGTGATCAGTACCTACAAGCTGCAACAAAGTACAGTTAGATGTTTATGTAACTATGCAAAATGCAACATAAGTTTCCTTCTCCATAGCAGGTAATGTAAACATTGCCTCTCAGCAATTAATATACCATCTATTCTATGAAATAACTACAGTTTCCACTGGTGAAGAAAAGCTGAAAGACAATATGCAATTTGTTTGACTCCACAGTTCAGTGTATGACACAAGTGTGTCACCTGTAAAATTCCCGATGAAAGAGCAGCTTGGAGTGCTTTACCATGCCCTGCTTCCCGGATTGGAGGACTCATCACATACCTAGAAGCATCGTATGAGATAAAAATAATATATAATCCGAAAAACATTACTACCGAGTTGTTTCCCATTTACTTTGAAGCAATTGTGAAGTCAGGATCCCAAAGCCAAGAATCATCAAGCACTAGTCCAGAAACCACAGGTTCACCAATGACTATCTGCCCTGCAAAGTTTTTACAATATAACCTAGTCCAGTTACTGAATATTGCTAAATTTATGTCAAGCGAGTATTCAGTAAATGATCTATCTAAAGAATCAATCAACAGTAGTCTCATTTAAGAGTAGTCCCGGATCCAAAGTAGAATCCAACTAAATTCTGGAAGAAAAGATGCCAGGTGGCTGACCTTCTCTTTTAGCCATGGCAATCTCATCCATCGCGTCAATGCTCATCACATGAACAACGTACAGTGGCGTATTGATGAACTTTGCTAAACGGATTGCCCGTGCAGTTGCTTCTCCTTCTAACTGCAGTGAATAAGAAAACAAAATTATTTCACTTTTGAATAGCTTAATGTGAGAATTAATGACAAAAGTTCCTGAGGGCCCTAACTATTATTATTATTAAAAACCTGAACATATCAAGGAGCATAACAGAAGAAGAGAAGGTTGAATTTGGGATTACAATTGGAGGTCTTGAGAGAGCATGCCCTTCTGGACCAGTTATCCCAAGGTCAATCATCCGCTGTTGTCCCTCGGCAACAGCATCCCCATTCTCTGCATGAACCATAGCAAGGGCACCAAGCGATTTGCATTTCTGTAGGCCTTGCAGGAGGAGGTCATCGGTGACCATCAAGGAGCCTTTATATGCCATGAAAAACTTGAAAGAATTTATTCCTGCAATTTCGAAATTGATATTTAATAGGATCTACTTCAAAATCTAAAAACCATGTCATAAAATTGTAATGATGTTGTCCTTTTAAAAAAAACTGATTCTAATGTCAACGCATAGGAGTTGCTTTATGTAACGAAGTTTGATTTAATTTCTTAAGAAAATAAGTAACAGAACAGAAAAACCAAAGTGTATATACACTGACCATGTTCCTTAACCATCACTTCCATTTCCCTTGCAACCTCATCATTCCACTTTGTAATGGCCATGTGAAAGCCATAATCCATGGCAGCTTTTGCTGCCTTGTGCTTGTAGGACTCCAAGCCTGCAGTCAAGTTGCCGTTCACAGGAATGACAAAGTCAATATGCATCGTCGTCCCACCAGCCAACGCCGCAGCATGGCCGCTGAAGAAGTCATCTATGGTCACGGTGCCCATGAACTCCATCTCCAGGTGCGTGTGAGGGTCAATTCCACCTGCAACATTCACCGGAAGGCTGATAAAACTGCGCAACAAGTAACAGCAGATTGCATAACTATTCACCACGAGAAGACAGTAAGAATTCACCTGGCATGACATATTTCCCTGTTGCGTCGATTACTCGGACATTATCAGGACCAACCTAGAAAGACATCAAGACACAAAAATTACGGTACCTGGTAGAGATCCCAAGCTAACAAAACAAATTCATCGATAATAATTTAACAAAATCAAGTGCCAGGAATCCCAAGCGCACCAAGCACATGGGTATACGTGGCGAAGCAGAGTGGCGCCTCGTGGCAACAGAGCGACTGAGCGAGCGACACGAGTGAACCAAGTCGAACACGCACTGGGATCCACAGATTCGGAACCAATCAATCTCGCGTAAGCGTAATAAGCGATCAAGCAACTCACCGGGATGTTTGGGCGGACGGCGACGACGACGCCGTCCTCGATGTAGACGTCGGCCTCCTCCGCGCGGTGCGCGTTCACCACCGTCCCGCCCTTGATCAGGATCCTCGTGCCGTCCCCTCCGCCGCCGCAGCCGGCGGCGTCACCCCCGACCGCGCAGAACTGCCACGCGCGCAGCCGAATCTAGCCACGTCAGGCGAGGCGACCAGCCAGATCAGACAAAGCACACAGAACAGAGTCAAAGCACACCCACCTCGTGCGCTGGGTGAGACAACGCGACGGCGACGGCTAGCAGCGATACCAGGAGGAGGAGGCGGAGGGAGGGCGCCGGCGTCGCCATGGCCCGCGCTGCAGGCGGAGCGGAGTGGAGAAGCAGAGCAGATGAGCGAGTCGCCGTCGCAGCCCGCTTGCTGTGTCGTACGCGACGAGCTATTTAACAATCGACGAGCAGCTCAGCGATTGGTTGGGATTTGTGACGGCGCAAAGGGCTCCCTCCGCCTCACCCAATCTGATCGGATAATTCCATCCATTCCAGGCTTTTGACTACCAGCTCTCACAAGAACGGAGAATCGGATCGGCGCAACGCATCATGTTCACCGTCCATCGTGCTGTCACGCCACACCAAAGTGAGGCTCCGGTCATGTGCGTCACGATCACCCAAACCCAGGGGCAACTGCTGCTGCACGTGCCTTTGACATTAGCCGATCAGCAGCCAAGAGAGTCCACCCGTCGTAGAACACTTCGCAGGGAAAGGGAGTATCCATCGACTGGCCAATTCACAGTAAGCACACAAGGCACGAAAACCAACACGTGTTACCTAAATCAGTTTCAAATCATTGGTCAGCATCATCAACGAAGAAAACAAACAAAGACACATACCCAGCTCATCAGGATCGTCGTACTTCAGCAGTTCAAACATTACAAAGACTGAAAGACACGAAGATTTCAGCAAAAAGAAAAGAAACAGCACTGTAAAACTGAAAACTACGAGGACAGCTGCTAAAATATCAGTCACCAGGTCACTGATGAAAGTTTGAAAATGATATACCCGTCCGTCGCTGCCTCAACAGTAATCTTGGTATGCTGCGAATCCGCTTAGCTTCTCAGTGTTGACCTTCTCAGCGTCTTCACTACTGCTTGTCAAAGATGAAGAACCCTCGTCGGATTTCGCTCTCTGAGGTCTCCTCGGATTTCGCTCTCTGAGGTCATAGAACTGCCCACGTATTCAACTCTTCTTTTGTTCAGAGACACTTCGACAGGAACGTCGATGAGTAGCAGGCACTGTCACGGTTAAGGATGAAAACGGTCGGAAAACCTCTTAACTGTTTTCTACTTCTACATTTGAATACGAAAACAAAAGTGAAAGCGATAAAACCGGACACAAAAACGAACACGAACTTACGGAATATCGAGAATTTCGAGCGGAATTATGTCGAACACGGTCGATATACGAAAAATCAATACGGAATTGACCCGTAAGACCAAGTGCATAACAATTAATAAGTGAATAATAATTAACAAGTCCTACAACTTGCTTAAAAAATAGCTCCATTCGACAGCATGTAAGAAATATATGATTTTTTTAAGACAATAAGCGCTTGTACGCGATTAATATACCGCTAAAACTTTGTTTACTTTTTTTTAACATCTTAAAGACCTCAAATGAAAAAAAACTAAAAACTAGAAAGTTACCTCGTCGAGAGCTACAATTTTCATATAAAAATCATCTTCATCTAAGATCATATGAAAAAGATACAGTTTTTCTAAGGCTGGACTTCTAGAGGGTCAAATTTGGTTTAAACCGAATTTCGAAACCGAATTCGGGATATTCCAAATTAAAAGTAGAAAACGGTCGAAAAAATGTCAAAACCGTTTTCGTTCCAATTTCGAATTTGATGTTCCGAATTTCGAACCGAATTCAAATTTATCCAAAAATACAAATTCGATCGGATTAAATATAGAAAACGATGCGGTTCGGAATATTTCCGTGCCATTTTCATCCTGGTCACAGTGAGTCGACATATGATGAATGGTTAGGTAAACCATCCACCAGCGGTCACTGTGCTCTGACAAGATGAGCTGCTTAGCTGTCTCCCTTCAGCAGGTCAATATTAGCAACCGATCACACTAATACCATCAGCAAGCACGGACAACCAGCCTGTTCGCTGGTTGATTTTTAGGCTGATAAGCTCGGCTGATGTTGATTTGTTGTGAGAGGAAAATACTGTTGACTGACTGATAAACCTGGCTGAAACCAACAAGCGAACAGGCTGAACAACTAAACCAATGCGGTCCGATACAACTGAGTGAGACAGAGCTGGGGAAGGAAGCAGCAGCAGGGAGGGTAGAAAGTAGTATAGCTGCAAGTTCTAGAGATAGATAGGAATAAGAGATACACGAGGATTTAGAGGAGGAAGAAGAGAGACGCCATGGTAAGGAGTCTTTGTTCTGGTGGTTGATGCCCCTGTCTGGATGCCTCTCCTCTTGTAGCTGCTGTACTCTTGAAAGCTCTTGTAGGCCCAATGGCTCATGGCCCATACATGAGTTAGCCCAGTTGATGGTAGTTCTTGTGACAGTCAAATAAGCGAAGCTTCCTGGCATTAAACAGTCGCCGGTTCTTCCATGCTGCCCCAGTTCTTCCTGGCTTTAAATTAAACAGCAAAATAAGCGAAGCTTCCTGAACAGCTCCAAGAGACCTCTGTGCACTGGGCTACAGAACTGCTGACGCAAAAAAAAAAAAACATATATGTGTAAGAGCAGACGTTGACAGCGCGCCACTTCAAGGAACAGATTGCTATAGTTATAGGGCATATCTTTTCTTTCACTTGGAGTGCTCTCCACTTATTATTAGTGATGCTTGGAGTATGTGCAAACGGCCACCTTCAGGTCAACAACATGTCAACACACGCTTTGGTCCTCTAGAAGTCTGAATACCTTTCAGCCTTTTCCCACTTATTTTAGCCCTTACTGCCAAACAACTGAAAGAGACCAAGATTAAGGCCAGAAGAGGAGGAAGCACCGAAGCATACTCCCATGGCTGCCGAAGCTATTTTAGGAGCCTTTATGCAAACCCTCTTTGAGAAAATCTTTGAAGTAGTTCATGATCACTTCAAATCTTGCAGAGGCATCCATGGCAAGCTAGAGAACCTCTCTTGCACTCTGTCCCAATTGCAGGCTTTCCTTGATGACGCTGAGGCAAAGCAGTTGGCAGATGCGTCCGTGAGGGGATGGCTGGCAAAGCTCAAGGATATCGCATATGACACTGATGATCTGCTGGACAGTTATTCCACCAAAATTATGGGTCTGAAGCAGAGACAGATGGTGCTTCGCACAAAGGCAAGTGTCAGTTCTCCCACCTCCTTCTTGCGTAGGAATCTATATCAGTACAGAATAAATCAAAAGATTAGCAGCATATTGGAGAGGTTAGATAAGATTGCAAAAGAACGGGACACTATTGGGCTACAGATGTTAGGTGGAATGAGTAGGCGTGAGACCTCAGAGCGACCCCATTCAAGTTCCCTTGTAGATAGTTCAGCTGTATTTGGCAGGGAGGCAGATAGAGAGGAAATGGTAAGGCTTTTGCTCTCTGATAGTGGACATAATTCCTGCAATGTTTGTGTCATACCTGTTATTGGCATGGGAGGGCTTGGTAAGACCACTCTTATGCAGATGGTGTACCATGATGACAGAGTGAATGAACACTTTCAATTGAGGATTTGGGTTTATGTGTCTGAAAGTTTCGACGAGAAGAAGATAACACAAGAAACTCTTGAGGCTGCTGCCTATGACCAATCCTTTGCAAGCACCAACATGAATATGCTTCAGGAAACACTCTCCAGAGTGCTAAGAGGCAAGAGGTACTTGCTTGTCTTGGATGATGTCTGGAATGAAGACCGAGATAAATGGCTCAGCTATAGAGCAGCTTTACTTTCAGGAGGTTTTGGAAGCAAGATAGTGGTAACATCACGAAATGAGAATGTTGGCAGAATAATGGGAGGGGTAGAGCCCTACAAACTACAACAACTATCAGATGATGATAGCTGGTCTGTATTCAAGAACCATGCATTTAGGGATGGTGACTGCAGCACATATCCACAACTGGAGGTGATAGGCAGAGATATTGTAAAGAAACTGAAAGGATTACCTCTTTCATCAAAGGCATTAGGGAGCCTCCTCTTTTGCAAAACAGATGAAGAAGAGTGGAAAGGCATACTAAGAAATGATATATGGGAACTACCAGCAGGGACGAATAACATACTGCCAGCTCTACGACTAAGCTACAACCACTTGCCACCATATCTCAAGCAATGCTTTGCATTCTGTTCTGTGTATCCCAAAGATTATATCTTCAGGAGAGAGAAGTTGATTAAGATTTGGCTAGCACTTGGTTTTATCAGGCCATTTAGCAGGAGGAGACCGGAGGATACAGGCAATGCATACTTTACTGAGCTACTAAGCAGATCATTCTTCCAGCCTTACAAGGATAACTATTGCATGCATGATGCAATGCATGACCTTGCTAAATCTATCTTCATGGAAGACTGTGACCAATGTGAGCATGAAAGAAGACGTGATAGTGCTACCAAGATCCGTCATCTTTTATTTCCATGGAGGGATGACAAGTGCATGCAGTCTGGTCCACTATATGACTATAGGAAGTTAAGGACACTAATCATTATGCATGGACACAAGTCTAAACTGTCTCAAATGCCTGATAGTGTCTTTATGAAACTTCAATTTCTTAGGGTTCTTGATTTGCATGGAAGAGGTCTTAAAGAGCTACCAGAATCTATAGGAAATCTGAAACAGCTTCGCTTCCTAGACCTCACTAGCACTGAAATCAAAACATTACCAGCATCTATTATAATGCTCTACAATTTGCAAACACTGAATTTGAGTGACTGCAATTCACTAAGAGAAGTGCCACAAGGCATGACTAAGCTCACTAACATGCGCCACTTAGAGGCAAGCACAAGGCTATTGTCCAGGATACCTGGAATTGGAAGTTTGATCTGCCTCCAGGAACTAGAGGAATTTGTTGTCCGGAAGCACCTAGGATACAAGATCACAGAGTTGAGGAACATGGACCAGCTTCATGGACAGCTTTCAATTCGTGGCCTCAACAATGTAGTTGACAGACAAGAGGCACTTGCAGCAAACTTGAGGACCAAAGAACATCTTCGAACTTTGCACCTTATATGGGATGAGGACTGCACAGTAATTCCTCCAGAACAGCAAGAAGAGATCCTAGAAGGCCTTCAACCACATCCTGATCTCAAGGAGTTAATGATTAAAGGGTTCCCAGTGGTGAGATTCCCTAGCTGGCTGGCTTATTCATCTCTTCCCAATCTGCAAACTATTCACATATGTAACTGCAAAAGCAAGGCACTTCCACCTCTAGGTCAGCTTCCCTTCCTAAAATATCTCGATATAGCGGGAGCAACTGAGGTCACACAAATTGGACTTGAGTTTGCAGGATTTGGCCAACCAAAATGTTTTCCAGCTTTAGAAGAACTCCTATTGGAAGATATGCCAAACTTGAGAGAGTGGATTTTTTATGATTCTGTACAGTTGTTTCCTCAATTAACTGAACTTGGTCTTATCAGGTGTCCAAAACTGAAGAAGTTACCCCCTCTTCCATCAACGTTGACATCGCTTAGGATATATGAATCTGGGCTGAAGTCACTGCCGGAGCTACAAAATGGAGCCAGTCCATCTTCTCTAACGTCTCTATACATAAATGACTGCCCAAATCTAAAATCTCTGCGTGTAGGTTTGCTTGCATGCGGACCAACAGCTCTCAAGAGTCTAACAATAGCTCACTGTGAACAACTTGTTTCACTGCCGAAGGAGTGTTTCCGTCCTCTGATATCACTACAGAGCCTGCATATTTACAAGTGCCCTTGTCTGGTGCCTTGGACAGCACTTGACGGAGGCTTGCTTCCCACTTCAATTGAAGACATCCGTCTAAACTCATGCTCTCAATTAGCATGTGTACTTCTAAATGGCCTAAGATTCCTTCCTCATCTCAGGCATTTTGAAATTGCTGACTGCCCTGATATCAGTAACTTCCCAGTGGAGGGCTTACCTCATACACTTCAGTTCTTGGAAATATCAAGCTGTGATGACCTCCAATGTCTGCCTCCGAGCCTGTATGAAGTTTCCTCACTTGAAACACTACTCATTGGCAACTGTCCTGAGATTGAAAGCTTGCCCAAAGAAGGCCTTCCCATGAGACTCAAGGAACTCTACATCAAACAATGCCCCCTAATCAAGCAACGGTGCCAAGAAGGTGGGCTGGATCGAGGCAAGATAGCTCATATCAGAGACATTGAGATTGATGGAGATGTTATTGTACCTGAACAGCTATAAAAGGTAGCACTTCCACTCATACTCATATTGATAGCATATCTCTTTTTTTATTAAAAAATAATAATAATTCGGAGGCAGAGGAATGTATATCTCAACTTTAATAGACCAGTTAACTAAACTAGGAACGATGAATGAAACTAGACCATAAAATATGTATAGGAAAAACTTCAAATTTGTTGTTGCTTTGGCATATGCAAATCACCCCATGGCGTGATGGTACTTAGCTTCTACTAAGTGGCTTATGACCATATATGTACATGTTACACCTACAAGAAGTGCCAAGTTGATAAGATTTTGGAGTCTGGAGACCTAAGGTGCAGTTAGCAGAACAGTTGCTAGTAAGAAAATATCAAGCTCTTTGCAGACTTTTAAAGTTTTAATATACTCACTAAAAGGATACAATAGCATACAGAATCTGTAATCTATACAAATGCTTGTGTTAATGCTAAGAGCTACTACCTCCATCCTCAAATATAAGGGATTCTGAGTTTGTTCCAAGTCCAACTATCCTAAGTTTGACCAAGTTTATTGAGAAGAGCATTAGCACCTACCACATTAAAAAGGTAAATTATGAAAATCCATTTCATAATTATCTAATGATGTTTCTTTGATATTGTAAATCTAATTGTTTTTTTTCCTACAAACTTGATCACACTGGGGATAGTTTGACCTAGGACAGACTCAAAATCCCTTATATTTCAGAACAGAGGCAGAGGTAATACAATGTAAAGAACACTTACCTAGGAAAATGACCACTATCTTCTACCTAAGGCTTACAACATTTTTGCCGTTTAAAATGTAATCTGCCTGGGAGCTATATCTTTTGTTTCGATCTCCTTTGATAAAAGAGGTCTAGCCAAAGCAAACTAGATCCCATCTCTCCATAAGCAATTAAGCATGGAATCACTAAAGCCCAATCTAGAAATTCAGGCTCAGCCCCCAAATTTTACAGCAATGGTCGCCAATGAAGTAAAATTAACATCAATCTCATCACAAATGGAGCAGAGAATTTGATTTAGGTACTTACTAGTTGATACTGGACAGGGCGGAACGGGCAATGCGGGCAGCGGAAGGTGGACGCCGGCGGCGCCCAGAATACCTCCGGCGTTGCAGACGCCGCCCCCTGTGTGCCTCCGCTCCGGGCTCCAGCGAGGTCATGCCGGTACCGGCAGGAGGGGATGTGATGTGCCGGTGCGGCGGTGCGCCGTGGTCCTCAACTCAGCAATGGACTCTGGTAAGTTGGAAAGACACTCTACCCGTTAGGCCGTTACCCACGCACAGGGACACGGCAGTGAGTCGAATCAGACCCCTGACCAAAACTGTGCGGACCCACCGGCCAGTTGCACGGTGACGGGTTTAGTAGGGTTCGGACTTCGGACTCCCACTTGGGGCTTGGCTAGGCTAACATGGCGGCGGCGGAGGCGGCACCGGCGCCGGCGCCCGAAGCGAGCGACTTCTATGGCGGCGGCGGAGGCCTCTCCACCGGCCGGAAGCTGGTGCCGTGGTCGAGCTGGACAGAGTGGCGCTTCGTGCGCGACGGCCTCTTCTCCCCCTTCCCCGCCGCCGCTCTTCGCAGGGTAACACCCTCTTCTCCGGAGCCCGAGAAGGCCTCAATGTTTCAGCAGAAGGGTGTGAATTTCTTAGTGTTTCGTTGATTGATTCAGATTGCGGCGTGGCGGAGCAGGGGCTCCCTCCCGATCCCCGTGGACGTCACCGCCGCCTTCGTCGAGATACGGCTGCGGGATCCCTTCTTCCGGTACGATGTTTGTACAGAGTTTGAACCTGTTCCTAGCTGCGGAGTTTGGATGGTGCTATATATGCCTAAAGCTGTCTGTTTGTTCTTTCCCCCAGGAACGGATTGGCTGGGGATGATGCGCTGGAGTCAGAGGAGATGCTCGCGATGCTGTACAGCATGGCAATCATGAGGTGACGAAACTCTCTCTGCAATTGTGATGCATGATTTCATACTCTTTTCCACAGTTAAAGTACAACACATACTTATTACCTACCTTTTATTTTTCCACTATCAGGCTTGTAAATGGTTTCGTGGAGAATCCATATAAAAAAACTGGCCTTTCAATATCTGAACTAGCTGAGGCTGTTGGAATACCACGAGTTCTGGTCGACATTCGTCATGGTTAGAAGATTTTGTTTGCTGTGTCCTTTCTACATGGTGAATTAATCCCTAGTGTATTAGATTATTTGTTTCATCTGGCTTTCATATTATAGCTACAAGTTTATGTACTGATTATTTGTGCTTCATGCAGAGAGCTCCCATCGCAGTCTTCCCTCCCTGCGACTGTTACGCTTGGCAAGCATTAAGGTAAAATGAGTTTGCTATCATCTCTGAGACATCTTGTCATATATTTGATTCAGTTTGCTGTTTTGTTTGGTGGTTCTCATATAATTTCAAGAGTTTGGGCTTGTAAATTTCTTTCTTTATTCCTAGCCATGATGTTTTGTATTAATATAAGTTTACTTTCAGGCATTTGATTGGTTGAAGTGTATTTACTGGGATCGCCAGACTAATTCAATTCCTGATGCTCAAGTGGAACTGAGGTTGAGGCTGCATGAAATTGCTGGCTTTCTGAAGGAGAATAATTCAAAAGAATCAAAATCAGGGTCCAAAAGGAAACGTGAGTATCGGCAGAGTTTGAGGCTGCAGGCAGATATAGGTCTTATCTGCTTGGAGCAGCACTAAGATTCTGTATAGTTAATGGCAAGATGGCTTTTCTTGGTTAAGAGCAATCTGACCAACTCCTGCTTGGCATTGAGAATTTTCTGGCTGACTTGCTGTTTGGGTGGTTAGAGTTGCGTTACTACAGTCCAGTATAATAGTTCTCTCTTGACAGTACTCATTTTTTGCTGTTAGATTCAACTAATTAGAAAGCTCGTATCTACATTTTTCGATAAAAAAGTGTAACTTCAGAGTAAAGGCAAATGCAATCCCCTTTATATGATTATAAGTAAGTACTAACTATTAGACTTGACAGGACAACTATAAATCTTTTTTTTTTTTGGAATCGTACAGCTATAAATCTTGAACCCATTGGTATGCAGTGCCCATTTGACTTTCCAGATTAGTATGGCATCATTTGATCAATACATTGCAGTTTGCAAGGAGGATTAATGAATTGTATTTTTTTCTCTTGATGCCAAGATTACTCTAGGATTAGGCTCTAGAAGCTGCAAAAGATGCACCACCACATGAAAATTTTGATATTTCTTCTCTTTTCCATTAGTGTGAACTGCTTTTTTCCACATATATAGGTGCACATTTGTAACTGAACATCCTCATTTATTTGCTACAATCAACTCATCTACTTTCTGAATATTTATATTGTGAATGTGTGATTATTAGTTTATTAGAGAAGATGAATAAAGTTCCAATATTGACAGATAACTTCTAAATTACAGGTTCTGAGAAATTGATATCGAAAGCCATGAAGTACGCCAGACGGCTCTACTATGCTTGTCCCTCTGAGGTGGTCTCTGTTTTATTGGATCTTATGGAACTGGATGCTGCGGACTCTGAAAGCATTGACATGCAAGAAACTGATAGTTGGGGTGTTAACCACTCATCTGACATTCAATTATCAAACAGTGATATGAAAACTATCATACTGAAACTTTCAGAGAAGGAACCGAGACTGCTGCTTAGTGTGCTAAAGTCAGTAATTGAAATGATCGACGCCAAGGAAGAACTCACAGATAAAGGTATAGAGCATCATACAGACCCTTTGTGCAGACATTATTCTGGTATTTCCTATAATTTATTCCATGATTTGCTTCACAACCCTGCAATGATAGAGCTGTCAAATTTTGTTCTGGTGTCTAGAGTTGATGTGTCATGTGAAGTGCTATATGTGCAGCCCTGATTCTGACCCTATTGGTTGTAATATTGTAGGTGAATATTATTCTTGGCAGACAGTTGGGCCATCCAAAGTGAAAAAGTTATGTTTTTTGGTTCTATGGCTTGTCACAAACATTAAAGAGCTTAAGGATTCAGGCTACATTGGACTTATTCACGAGATAGGAGTACTTTCTTCAGACAAGAATGCAATCCCTCGTTTTTGCCTTGCAAAACTTTTGCAGAAGTTATTGAATCTATCCACTATAGGTGAAAGATGTCTCATAGATGCAGCACTGTTGTTGATTGAAATGGTCAACGATAATAATATGAAGGAGAAATTGAGGAAACTTCCTGTGTTATGTCTGGGAAGGTTGGCTAAATCTTCTTCCCTCCCGGAATCAAGAACGATACGCAACCAACAGGAATCAGTTGAAAACGCAACAGAGACACTAGAATTATTCAAAGTGCAGTTGAAGAGGCAGAAGAATGGCACCACTGAAGGATCATTCATGATCACACCAGAGAAACATGACAGATGGTCCGTAGCAGAGTCATGGACTCCCTGCCCAATAGGAACAGTACCATGCTCATTTAGTTCATGTGCTGTTCTTCCTGCCTTGATGTCATCAGTCATGAACAAGTTTCCACATTAGAACATGAAACTTTTGAGGAGGTTAGTCATTCTGAAAGGTTTGAGCCTCAGACCGAGGAGTTGGAGGATGAAAGCATTCTGGAAATACCAAGGTCATCACCAGAATATGAAATTTCAGATGTGACAGAATTGACCTGTCCTTTGAAGGGTAGATTGTTGGTTGGTGGTGTTTGGAAAATGGTAGCCGAAGAGGAGCTGCTCATGATAAAATCGAAGATGAAAATTTTGTTGTAGTATCCTCAATGGTTGTGAGCAAACAGTGCCCTTTTTTGGCGGGTCCGTGGGGGTCTTACCGAGTTTCTTCATTATTTGTCCTGATTCTCATTTCCATTTGTTACTTCTTCGGTTTGGCCTAGTAAGAGCAGTACACAGTTGAGCTTGCCTTTTGTTTCTTCTAAACTTGTCATAGAAGTTTAGGAAATAGTTAATCAGCTAATTCATATATTACTAACAATGGATCTCCATAGTCGTTGCCTGGAGTGGAGATTGTTAACT